ATCTTCTTCTTCTCTCATTTCCCTCATGTTCTCCTTCCTGATTGGTCAGACTCTCCTCCATATTCTCCTGATTCGTTCCTTATCTCCCTATTTTCTCTTCCGATTGCGCAGCTCTGCCCAATCTCTTCTCTAATGTTTCTCATCTTCCCCGATTCCTTTCTTTTCCCATCTTAGCCACACACATGTGGCATAACAATTTAGTAGTATAAAATAGTACAATATAATTAAAATAGTGATTTCTTCAAAAATACTTTTGGATTCATAGCTTCATAAAACTTTAACCGTATATCTGATTTTGATTCCGCTTGCGCCTACGCGTTCGTATCGTTGTGTAACATCCCACATCGCCCAGGGAAGTAATCCTTAAATGTATATTCCTATCTCTACCTAGTACGAGGCCTTTTGGGAGCTCACTGGCTTCGGGTTCCGTCAGAACTTCGAAGTTAAGCAAGAAGGTGACCAGAGCACTTCCATGATGGGTGACTCATTGGGAAATTGCTCGTGAGTTCCCAGAAACAAAATTGTGAGGGCGTGATCAAGGCCCAAAACGGACAAAATCATGCTACGGTGGAGTCGAGCCCGAGATGTAGTGGGGGCCTGGGCCAAGATGTGACAAAATGGTATCAGAGCCAATCCTTGGCCGGAAGTGTGCCGACGAGGACGTCGAGCCCCTAAGTGGGGTGGATTGTAACATCCCACATCGCTCAGGGGAGTGATCCTTAAATGTATATTCCTATTCCTACCTAGCACGAGGCCTTTTAGGAGCTCACTGGCTTCGAGTTCTGTCAGAACTCCGAAGTTAAGCGAGAAGGTGGCCAGAGCACTCCCATGATGGGTGACCCACTGGGAAGTTACTCGTGAGTTCCCAAAAACAAAATTGTGAGGGCGTGGTTGGGGTCCAAAGCGAACAATACCTCATCTCTAGGGCATTTTCATAAATTCACATTTTAAAAATTCATAAAGTCGTAGAACTAGGGACAGGTTGTCATAAGAGAGACTAAATTTCTAAACCAAATTTTGTAAACGAAATGATGTGTTTTTTGTTGATTGAATTATTACTCAAATGTTGACTAACGTACTTATTTTCTATTAGTGATACATTATTTGATTTGCAAATTTGGTTTAAATGACAACTGTTTTAGCCACTCCAAATATATAATTCACATATTATATTTCCATACACCAAAATGTCCTAACAATTATAGAAACAAATAAAGATCAAAATTAATACACGGGCTTTCTTTGACAAGTATGCCCAAAATTTAACCACGACAAAATTATAAAATAAGAAAAGAAAATAAATTTGGTGAATGGAAATAATTCACATGCTAGATCACGTGCCTGACAGCCAGAAACCAAAGCTTTTATGCTCATAGTTCCCATCCACACCAGAAGAAAACGAACCTCAATTGAGATGGGGAGACGGCCCACATGGCGCCATACATGTAAATTATGTGAGATTGTTTAGTGTGCCCAGAATAGGGAGTAGTAGACTATATTTTAGGGATGTGATATCTACACACTTCATTTTACTTTTTACACATCTTTTTAATTTTCGGTCTTCGGATCGGATGAATTGAAGAAAATCAACGGACAAAATTATCAAAGGTGTGTGAGAAGTAAAATAGGGTGTGTGGATAGCACACTCCATATTTTATTATATAAATGGGGTGCCACTTGAAAATAAAATTTTCATCCACTTAATTATATAATAACATGTGGTGTTATATTCCGTGTTTTGGGAAAAATAATTTCTTGTAAATCATGAGTGTGCAAAAATGTAGTAAATAGTAGAAACAATGGGATTAAACAAAATCGAATTCTTATTATCACTAAAGTTCTAAAAAGACATTAGGTGCTAGTTGGGCAACAGATTAGGCCATCTCCAACCGAAGGGTCCAGAGGGCCAGAGGGCCGAAAATAGCCCTAAAACCGTCTCCAACCGAGGGCTAGGCCAGAGGGCTCTGGAATCTGGGAGGACCCCACGGGATCGGAGAGGGCTGGAGGGCTGGAGGGCTGGCTGCTTTCGGCTAGCCAGCCAGCCCCGGGCTGGCTCTTTTTTTTTTTAATGTTTTGTTATTCCTGTCGGTTATAACCGACAGGAATACATGCTATTATTTAATATAATAAATAATGGTGTATTCCTGTCGGTTATAACCGACAGGATTGTTTTAAAAAAAATTCAAATGAAACGGCTACTAGCCGTTGCATTTGATTTGTTTTTTTTTTTACATTATTATTATTCTTTTTTATTTACAACATTTTTCATATAACTTCTATTTCACAAAATTTGGTTTTTTTTAAATTCCATTTTTTTTCCTATAACTTCTATTTCACAACTTCTATTTCACAAAATTTGTTTCATATTTTTTTTAAATTCCATTTTTTTTCCTATAACTTCTATTTGACAAAATTTGTTTCATATTTTTTTTAAATTCTATTTTTTTCCTATAACTTCCTAAGCCATTATACAACATTAAATTAAATTAAGTAACATGAAACAACATTAAACAATATGAAACAACATTAAATAAAATTAACCAACATAAAAATTATACAACATGAAACTTAAACAACATTTTAGTTGTAGTTTTTAAATAATAAATTATGTTTGGCCCTATGGCCCTTTGGCCCTCGGTTGGAGACGGTTTTTTGTGATAGGGCTAAAACGAGCCCTCTGACCCTCTGGCCCTCGGTTGGAGACGGAGGCAAATATGGCCCTGTATTGTTCATTAAAATATTAATATCTTGGAGAATCTTGGAGGGCCAGAGGGCTAAAACGAGCCCTCTGGCCAGCCTTCGGTTGGAGATGGCCTTAGGGCCTAGCGCCTTGGGGGCTAGGCAGAACATAGACGGAAGCTTAAGTGGACTGAGTTGACTTAAGTAAATTTAATATAATATAGAGATGGTAAATACCTAAATGAAAATTTTAATTGTTGATTTTTAAACTAAGGATTATACAGATTATTGTAGAGAAATATTTTTTAAAATTAATGCTTTAGTTGGATATGTGGCACTTGAGAAATGATAAGATTAAAAACGAAAATATCCGAGATAAAGTAGAAGTAGTTACAATTAAAGAGATGAGAAAAATTCGATTAATATGATTTGGACACGTGAACCGAAGACTTTCAGATGCTCAAAGTAAAATATGCGAATACGAGAGAGACTTAGAAATAGAACATAAAAAAAAAAAAAAAAAACATACTGCACTTGGAGCTATGGAAAAATTGACACATAACTAGCATGGTGGAGTTTTAGGAGTCAACAGCAGACTCCATCTAATGGAATAAAACTTTATTGTTGTTGGATGAGCTAAAAAGAGTTAGTAAGGCGGTTGTGGGCCCAACCGTACGCGCTAGGGTGAAGAAGTTCTGTTCGAACGGAATTCTTTCTCATTGGCCTTTTTATGCGTGAAAGGGACTTAAAGTTATTGGACCATATTGTCCCCAGTGAGCTGGTCCCAGGAAAAGGCCCACTACCAGCCGTTTGCCCCCCTTCTCACATAAAGCTAAAACTGCCTCTGCCCCTGGATGCCGACTTCTCCCCTTATTTTTCCAGCGTTTGTTTTACTGTCCCATCATCATCCTGGGTCCCACAAGCTCCCCAATTTTTTAATACTTTTTACAATTTTTATTATGACGTCACGAACGCGTCAACCATGACATCTTATGCACCATTTTTCTACCGAGGATGAAAACAAAGAAGTAGCATGCTCGCCTGACTTGCGTTGACTCTGGTCAACGTGCCATGGGTTTACTATTTTGGATAGGTGATGGGGTCAGCACGTAATTATGGATTTTCGGTGGTAAAATGTATTGCATGCATCATTAGTACTTGAAGCACTAATAACTGTGAAAATTTTAATATTGATGGAAAAGACATCTTAATTATTTGTTTGTTAAAGGGTTCATTCAACTTGAACGTCGGTTAAGTCTAACATAACAGTTGTCTCCTTCATTATTGTTGAATTTAAATTCTCCCTCCGTAAATGGTGCTAGATTAGTGCATTGCTTGAATGAAAAAATAAATTAACGTAAGTTGCACAACATGCTCATTTAGAAAGAAAATCTTTGTTACTTGCGTAATCAAAAGTAAAACAACACTTTTTAATTTTTTTTCCTTAAGAATCTTCTATATGGACTTTTATTGTGAGAAAGATTTTCTTCCTATTCTTAGCTTGATCTTGAAAACTTGATAGTTCTGAAGTTGACTCATGAGTTTGTGGTTGAGAGTTGGCAATAATTTGGCATAGGTTTAAAGAGATAAAAAAAATTATGATCATTCGTAATTTCAAAATTCACATATTTGAACGCGTACAAAATCAAAATTAGATATTTGCATAGAAATTTATTAACCCACGTCTATGATCATTTGGTTTGATAGCATTAAGCTTCTTTTTTTGTTGGAAGATATTTTTAGTTCAAATTTTATAGACTACCATATTGGAGTTGTGGAAAATAATGCACATGATCATTTGATTCAGCAGCTCCTCCTCTCTCATTAATCTCATATTCCATTCTTTGTGCATGTACATCCCTAGTATGGAAGGAGAAATACTTTAATAGAGTTTAACTTATCAATAGACCATGTTGAGTGACGTTCCTCGTGTTGAAGAACCGTCCTTCGAAAGTTGGCCTCGTCATTGGGTTCAAACATGTCAATTATAGAATTAACAATGCTTAGTCTTTACATTGCTTAAGAGGTCATGAATTCAAATTTCGTGAAGGACTATATTTGGAGTAATAGAAAATCAACCAAATTAGATTGAACTCAGCAAAGAATAAAGATTGGACTGGATTTGAACACACTACTCTTATATCACACATCATTTCTGAAAATGAATAAGGCCAGTGAGCTATATGGGCTTTCAAAGCCCAAAGTCTAAATATCAAATCCAGAGATCCGACTCGGTCCAAAACCATCGATCCATGGGCCGGGGCTCCAACTCCGACCCTGGAGATTCACCCGCAAACCCGAAAAGGTAGAAGAAGAAGAACCCGTAGGTCGAAAGTCGAACATCCCGACTTCCTCAGCCACACTCACACCGTCACTGCCTCGATCAAATTCATATGCCAACCAAAAAATGGCGAATTTTCAAGCTCGGACATGGCTTTACAGAACCTTCTCGACCGTCGCTTCTCAGCCTCTTCGCGTCTGCGTAGTCGGAAGCGGACCTGCTGGCTTCTACACTGCTGAAAAGGTAATCACTTTTTGTATTTGTGCTTTTGCTTGCGTTGAACTGTTTGATAACTGATTGAACTGAAAGAAATCAAGATTTTGTTTTCGATTAAGTTTAATAAAGTTTTGGTATTTAATTTGGTTTGGTTTGGTTTGAATTGAGCTGAATTAGATGCTGAAGGCGCACCAGGAAGCAGAGGTGGATATCATTGATCGGTTGCCAACGCCTTTCGGATTAGTCCGCTCCGGCGTCGCGCCTGATCATCCCGAAACAAAGGTGACCACTTTATTGTTAATATCAGTTTCTTTATATTTTGAGAAATTTAATTGAAATAGTTCGGGAGAATTTGAAGTTTTTGAACTGATGCATTGTTGATAATCGATATAAATTGTCGCGAATAAGGAGTATTGTATGGATTTTGTTTGTTTATTTTGTTAAAAGTCTTGGTGTGGCGGGAAATAAATCTCTTATTTGAGCTTAGTTTATCAGAAAACTCGCAACAGATTGTGGTGAACCAGTTTACGCGAGTTGCGCAACATGAACACTGCTCGTTCTTTGGAAACGTCACCCTTGGATCCTCTGTAACTCTCCCGGAGCTACGTGAGTTGTATGGTGTGGTGAGTTCCTATTCAATACGTGTTAATAATACTAAATGTTGTTACTGTTATGGCTATTTGTTTGTGATGAACACTATGCAATACGCAGGTTGTGCTTGCCTATGGAGCTGAGAGTGATAGAGTTCTTGGTATCCCAGGAGAAGTATGTTTTTCTTGTTTTGGTTTTGTATCTTTAGTATTATGGTGCTCTGTGATCAGTAGGATGACAATGTTTATACAAATAAAAATTTTTGGTCCAGTGCTAAGGATTAATTATGAGGGTTCCAATTGGTGAAGCCTCTTGTCACACCAGAGGCCCAAGTTTGGCCCTTTTTTTTAATTTTAATATTTTACTTCAAATATTTATTTATTTCTATTTCTTCAACAATATGTTAAAAAGACATATAGAATACGTGAATTTTACATGTATTATTGAAAAATGTGTGAAAATAACATGTATTAAATGCATAAAGTACGTTTGTGCGTGTATAATATGTGTATCGTGCGTTGGACTTTTAGAAAACCTGCAATTTAATGAACAATTGAAATGTGTATAGAAAACAGAAGTATTTTTTAAAAGTACTTACGTACATGTATTATACGCCAATTTATTAACTATGATTGCAACTAATGGTGTTTATTTATCTTTTTAAAATTGTTGGTTTATATCTCTTTCTAGGATTTGAGTGGTGTATATGCAGCCAGAGAATTTGTTTGGTGGTATAATGGGCACCCAAATAGCAGATACCTAAATCCCGACTTGAAGAGTTCTGATACTGTTATAATTCTTGGTCAGGTATCCACCGTATCTTCAGACTTTAGGAAACAAGTTCATAAATATGATTATCCTTCTCTTGAGTTACTGACATGAGGTTGGTTAATATATGTACTTTGCTATCCTTGTCACTACACATAAATTGCTGCAGCTTAATCCAGATTACTAATTGCTGCATTCAATACAGGTGGGAACTATATGACTAGTTGCCAGGCAATAGGGGTGGTGCTAAATAACATTGGTTTGTCACCTCATGGTACCATCCTTGAAAGGTCGGGCCAATAATTTATTTATTTGAAGTTAGGATAATGAATTAAGTGAACAGTGACATGGAGGGAATTGAGTATAGTTTGGGTAATAAGAATAAACCATAGGTGAGTTTAGTAGTATATGCAGGTTCGGATATTCAGAAAGTGTAAACATTTTTACTCTTGAGGGACATGTCAAAACATATAGCCTTTTATTACATAACAGTTTTTATCCCTTGCAAACCCAGCTCCTTTTGATTTCAGGGAAATGTTGCTCTTGATGCTGCACGTATTCTTTTACGGCCAACAACAGAATTGGCCACAACTGATATTGCAAGCCATGCTTTGGCAGCTCTTGAAGATAGCTCTATAAGGTTTGATATCTCATATCCTGAGAGTAACCAGTTACATAAAATTGTTGATTTATCTGGATTTCATGTTCATTGATATTAGTGTCATGTCAGGAAAGTGTATTTGGTTGGAAGGTGGGGACCGGTCCAAGCAGCTTGCACTGCTAAGGAGCTTCGTGAAATTCTTGGTGAGTCTTAACATGAGAGTGAGACTCATTTTAGTTCAAGTGAAGCATGTAGGCCTTTTGAAATAATATCTGCAAACAGATTTCATTTGTATATTTTGTCAAAGTCGTTGGTGTAATTGTTTCATCTTCCCCTCATGTAACAAATATTACTGGTGTTCATGTCTGCAGAACTTTTTATATGCAGAATTAAAAAAAAATTGATGTCTTTGTTCTTCAGGTATCAAAGATCTGCATGTTCACAAAAAGGAAACTGATCTTCTCCCAACTGCAGCAGATGAGGTATCTCTCTCCCGGAGCTACAGTTATAGTTATTAATATGAAGTATTCTACGCTGCTATTGGCGGTATATTAATTCCCTTACTGATAGTAATTTTGTTTCCATTGTTTCTATGACTCGTTGCTATGATTTGGTAAGGAAGAGATGAAGAATAATCGAATTCGGAAAAGGGTTTATGAGTTGCTCTCTAAGGCAGCCATGACTAGACCATCACACCCCAGCTCAGATGCACGTGAACTGCACTTTGTTTTCTTTCGGAAACCAAATAAGTTTCTAGAGTCTGATGAGAGAAGGGACCATGTTTCTGGTGTCAGACTTGAGAAGACAAAACTCATAGGTAATTTACTCCGCATAGACATGTGTAGTTAAAATTTTCATGCATTTTGCTATGAGGTCAGGCCATATCACATGTAAACACATCAGGACTGATGATGGTATTATGAAAGCTGTAATAACGCTAGTGATAACAACTAAATCACTAAATTTCAATTTCTAGGTATTAGCCCAGGAGAACAAACGGCTGCAGGCACTGGACAGTTTGAAGAGCTTGGATGCGGGTATTTTTTCTGAAATTCATCCTTGATTAATTTTATTACTAGAGGCATATTCCTGCAATGTGCATGCAGTTGAATGTGAAATTAAAAAAAAAAAAAGTTAAAAAGGGTGGGTGTGGAGAGAGAAAAAATGAGGTACTAACAACGTTGGCAATATACTTTCTTGTTCCAGGATTGTGCTAAAGAGCATTGGTTACAAATCAGTGCCAGTTGATGGCTTACCCTTTGATCATCGGAAAGGTACGTAGATGTTGTTATAGGAAGTAAGCATATTATTCTATCTGAATTTTGGGTTTCTTTCAAAATTCTATGTTTTTGCAAAGTTGATATTATACAAATATGAGGAAGATTATTCTATCTGATGTTCTAATACAAACTTCATCTGGAATTGGAATTTTGGTTTGTTGATTCTTTAGAGGGCCTCATTCACCTCTTCCATTAAAGTACTGAATTTTAGCTAAAATTTTCCAGTTTATCGGATTTACTAAATAAGCTTCATACCAGGAGTGGTTCTAAACCGACCACATGAGAATAGCTCACAGGATCACCCCTATATGTAGGAAAAGGATCAAGGATGATAATGATGGTCTGATCTGACGGCCTTCTTTGCAGGTGTGGTTCCAAATGTTAGAGGGCGTGTTCTAAGTGATACATCTGGAGATCCAACCCTGCTTGAGAAGGGTTTATATGTATGTGGATGGTTGAAGAGAGGACCAACCGGGATCATTGCTACAAACCTGTACTGTGCAGAAGAAACTGTAAGTTGTCTTTTGTATTGCTTTAGATGAAAAGCACTAAGGTTTGTTCATGCCCATCATTAGCAACTCATGAAGCATCTCAAAGCCGATAATTGTCGTAGATAATAGTTAATTACGTTGGTCACGTCACTGATCTGAACGGCACTATTGCAGGTTGCAAGCATATCTGAAGACATTAAGCTAGGAAGATTGACATCCTCATCTAACTCAGGCAGGGAGGGTCTCCTCCAACTGCTGGACGATCGGAATGTCAGAGTTATATCATTTCGTGATTGGGAAAAGATAAGACTCGGAAGAAAGACGGCTCGGGAATTTAAGAAACAAGCCGAGGGAAAAACTAGCCACGTTGGAGGAGCTTCAGAAAGTAGCAACAGATTAAATACTCTCTTCGGGGTTTCTGTTTTTTCTTTTTCCCTTTGTTTTTTAGGATTTATAGCGAGATCATTTATTCTTTCACTGAAATACATTATGGTATTCCTGTACTTTAGCCATTAAACTCTTGCTGGCTGGGAATGAATGTAGCTTCTTTGTAAACCATGGAAATGAATCTCGATATTTCAATAGTTCCTGTAATGTTTACTTATCGGAAATGGGTATGAGAAGAAAAAGAATAATTTTAGTCCTCGATTTTTTCACATTTACTGGCACATAAGTAATTTGAATTTGTGGGTCTCGTCCTAAAGATCAGTAATCCATTTACTGGCACATTTACTAGGGAGTAGTTGATCCGATTCTTTTCCATCGTATTATTCATTCTTGGTAAGTAAACATGCCATAAATTTTTACATTCTGTTGAACAGGTTATGATCCTCAAGAATTTCTTACTTGTAAGCACTGTAGTCAGTCATATCGGAGCATTTTGGTAGAATCAGTTTTTGTTGACCACACGTCCAGTTGACATTTGCTTTTAGGTATGTCGGCTCAAAGTCAAAACCCACCATGTTTTTTTTTTCATGCCAAGCACATGCAAAAGCTGCCATCTTGAGGTGAAATAGCTGCTCAAAAGTTACATAGTACGCATACACACTTATGCTGAATCCTGGCAAAAAATGATTCGACTGTGGAATTTTGGTGGCTCTCAATGTCACACCCACATGCACTTGTTTCACTCAAAAGATTTTGCCAAATTCTGCTGGGCAAACGCTACTAGGGCTCCCAATTTTAGGAAAAGTTATCGTACATGTCCTCTCATAGTTTTATTCCGAAGGACAACGGTGACTTCACATACGGACATGCCACATACAATCTTTAGTCATCAAGCCACACATCCCCACTCGATGGATGAATATTTAGCCAATCGTTATACGTCACATACTTTACAAATATTACGTAAATATCTTCTTAAGTTGCACCGAGACCTTTGAGACGAACCCTTAAGGGCTAGGGTTCTGAACCTAGCTATCAAGCAAAAAAAAAAATGTTGTGTGAGATTTAGATTACCACCCACTTCCTTTTTACCTTGTTGAGTTGCCAAGTGATTTTGATGTAGGATGGCAATTCTGACATTGACAAACCACCGATTATAACTTTGAATTATTTAGCTGGTAGAGATTCAGGGCCTCTGCCCCTCCTGGACTCCAATAATTTTGTGATATATTTATGGGAACTTTAACGAAAAGCACCCGGTACTGTTCACTTTAACGAAAAACCACATTTTTATACTAAAAAGTCAATCCTGATACTATTCACTTTACCCTTTATTTTGTCCTTATCATTCAAACTCAAAGTTTTCGAGCCCTTTTCATTAGTTTTCCTTATATTTATTGGGACCCATTAATTGCTGTGGATTCAAGTAGTGCTAGTACAACACTACCTGCAGGCCTTTTGAAGGATGCAACATGTAAGTCACTACCTATGAACTGTTCTAGAATATCAAAGCTGGAATCGTAGTCTTCATTAAAGCTTGCAAGACTTGCAGTAAAAAGGTAAAAATCGAGCACAGGACTGAACAGCCTATAACTTTAGGTCTCGGCTCGGCAAGAGAAATTTACGTGTCACAGGTGTGTTATTTTCTCTTTTTTCTGCTTACATGATAACTACTTAAAGAGACTGAGAGAAAAAACATACATCCTGTGACATGTAAGTTATTCTTCCCATGCATAAACCCTACCTTGCTTCAGTTACGTAGTATGATTATATGAGAAAACCAGTTCAAACAAATAATGCAGGATTTGGGTACTAACAGAAACGTTTCTTTCGGTTTTTTTTTTTTTTTTTGCCGAACACGTTTCTTTCGCTTTGGCTTAGTTGGTTTTTGCTGCAGGTAAGTCATGTGGCTTGTGTCAGTGTGATTTTACCGTTCAGTCAATCACATTGCTAGCAAATTCTGGTGTAATCTGGGAGGCTTTCGTTTCACCGAGTGTTAATTAAACGATTTCTGACGGTTAGGAACTTATAATGGTTTGTAATCTACTTTTAACTCTTTCTCTACAAAATGATCAATTTTTTTGTAGGTCTGGGGATCTTTGGTTGCATACAAGAATCTTTATGCACATACGGTGTTTACACTTGAATCTCTCTTGCAAATTAGGGTTCTTTCACAAATCTCATAAACATACAATTGATAGTGTTATATATGCAACCAAAAATAAAACTTGGGAGTTGGGAGTAACACAAAAAAGATTAAGACCAGTGTTAGGATCTACACACGTACCTGAACTAATTATAATAATTAAAATTAACTGACACGTCCATTTCTCATAAAGTAAAACGAATTAGTGTGACTTGAGATTGAGTTGAAAGACATAAAACATTATAATTCACATTCGAGACTTAATTCTAAGGTAATGCCAAAGGTGATATGTTGTTACTTTTCTAGTGCTCATCCAGAACAATACAAGATTACATTCAGCTTTTTCTGGTTATGGATCTGCAATGATGCCTCATTAGTACTAGGGTTTTCTATCTAATTCCTCTCCATGTGGTGGGCTCCATTGGCCTCTCTTATCAAGTGTGTCAGATGTGCAATATGTGCTATAATTCATATATGGCTATGATGGATTTGCCATTTGGGACTTAAAGAAAAAGGCTATTTATTCCTTTTCATGTTTAATCAAATACAGAATGGGGTCAGGATGGTTCTATTTTGAAGATTCATGCTGTCTCCTAACCCTTACCAGAAAGTCTTTGCTCTGATTATGACAACCATTTGGGATGTTCGAGAGCCATCTGATTAAGGCCTTGTTTGCGTTAAGCAACTAATCGATCTGTGCATTGCGAGAGAAACTTATCTAAGGTCCTAAACTTTGAGATTTTACGATGGCGGTATTATAATCTAATTACACATTGTTATATGTTTTAGCGTTCATGCATGACAATGTGTTATTGAAACTCAAGTTATCCATCGTAGACTCTAAGTGCATGGAAATTCTTCTTGTGTATGAGGTTATTGTTGTTGCCTTAATCTTCATGCATGATAATATGTTATTGATTTAAGGTACCGTCATTGTAGCGTTTTAAGTGCATGCATATTGAGTTATTGTTGCTGCATAAGATTTAGATTGACTGACCATGGCACTAAGAGGATTCAAAAATGTGATGACAAAGACACGCAAAAAGATTAGAATCCCTCATATTGGTGGAGGACCTAGCTTTATCTTATCACGTTGTTAACTCGTGAGATTACTGTAACAAAAGTGCAGGGCATTGGGGACCCACCACCAAAAATATGGAGTAGATCACCAGTTGAGCTTGGCCAAACACCATAAGAAAAGAACAGTATCACATCTCAGCAGGGATGTGAGGTAAGTTTTTCACACAAGCGATTTTAAAAGAAGAGAGGATTCTAACACGAATCGTTCAGTGGACGAATAAACGCTCTTAATCACGTAAGTTGCAAGCCGTATACAGATGTGAAGTAAAGTTTAAAGGCATTGTGATTGAAACTAAGGAAGTGTAGGTTGCTTTGGCTGCTGGGAAACCACTCTCTTTGTTCCAACACTGACCTGTAACACCACACTACTGCTGCCTCCTTGGAGGCCCACCAACAAGAGGCAACAAGTTTGGTTCTTGAGGCCCACGTACCATTTGTGGGCCCTCTTTGGAGATTTCTTTTCAACATGTTCATTATTTGAAAAAGAATTTTTTACCTTCCACAAGTACACCCTTTTTAATTTTGGTTATTGATTTTTTTTAATTGATTTAATTCAACAACCAAAAATTAAAGAGATGTGATGAGAAATAAAAATGAAAGTGCAAATGACACTACCCTTTTGAAAAAAAAAATTGTTAAAAATAGGTGAAGAATAAAGCTGAAATTTTGAATAGGCCAAGAAAATGTAAATAACACTACCCTTTAGAATAAAGCAGAAATTTTGAAAAGATTTTATCTCAAGGAATAGATGGAGAAGAAATTCGAGTTTGCATTATGGTGCTTAATTCTTCATTAGTAAGTGGTTTAGAATGATATATCATTATCAGGCATGTTGTTCAATATCTTAGTGGATATGATGTTAGATTGTTGGGTATGTGTCTTGAGTTCGAAAATTTTTTACTCCCTAAATTAATTTAAAAGTTTCAAACTCTCCCCCTTCTCTTTTGTAATAATAAATTTTAAAAAATAATAATACATCATTATCAAGACCATATACAGTGTAACATTCCACATCGTCCAGGAGAGTGCATCATGTAAGCCTTATATATACATATATATATATATATATACATATATATATTCTCATCTCTACCTAGCACGAGGCTTTTTGGAAGCTCACTGGCTTTGGATTCCGTAGGAACTCCGAAGTTAAGCGAGTTCACACTAGAGCAATCCCATGATGGGTGACCCACTGGGAAGTTCTCGTGTGAGTTCCCAGAAACAAAACCGTGAGGGTGTGATCGGATTCCAAAGCGGACAATATCGTTTCATAGGAGACCCATTGGGAAGTTCTCGTGTGGGTTCCCAGAAACAAAACCATGAGGGCATGGTCGGATTCCAAAGCAGACAATATCATTTCATGGAAGACCCATTGGAAAGTTCTCGTGTGAGTTCCTAAAAACAAAACCGTGAGAGCGTGATCGGAGCCCAAAACGGACAATATCGTGCTACGGCAAAGTTGAACATGAAATGTGGTAGGGACCCGGATCAGGATGTGATATACAGTATATAAAAAAGTAGAATTATCCTAATTGTTGACAAAATTCCAAAGCTTGGGATGAAGTTGAAGAAAATCTGCTTTTGAACCTTTGGATAAGTTTGGATTAGAACACAATTAAATTACTGTTATGCTCCATTATTTGGTGACCCCACAACACAAAACTTCATTTCTCAAAGTGTTACTAAAAGAGATTTTATCATGAACAATATGGAAGCATATTCTCTGCCCCAATATTGATTATGACGTGACATGCTGGTTAACTTTACAATACATTCATATTTCTATTTATTTGTAAGTGAAATATTTTATGTTTAAATTATTTGAATAATGAGTTTAATACTAAATTATTATACCTTTGTGCAATGTGGTGCCCAACCCAAATTTTTAATCTTCTAGTTAAATATATTGTTATATCAAAACAAAATATGAATCATGGAGATTTTTTAATATAACATTTATCATGTCATGCCAGTTAGTTTTATGGTATATTGATATATCTATCTACTTGTAAGTGAAATGTTTTAAGTTCGAATTTTCTGAATAA